ATTACTCCATAAGTTTTTTCACTCATTTCCTTTCACTAACAGTTCGCCCATAACGACGAGGGAGGTCATTACATTAATTCAAAAACTTTAATCTTTGAATCTAAATCTTGTGCACATTTGCTGACTTCAAATCTCCAACTAACTCTATTAACCGGTCCGTCCCCTATCCTATGCCCCTCTGCCAATACCCTGATCCTTAGCCTTTAGTCAATTTAGTGCACTGTCTGCGAAACTCTTGACTATCTCTCTTAACTTAATCTAACATATAATCCAATACACCCTCAAGCAACTCGGACCACCCAAGGATCCTTAAAATAGAATCTATAGTGTTTAACATGCAATTCTCAATCTCTTCACAAGGACCATCCTGCATTTAACACGTTAATCCGGCCACTCATTGACCAACTTATGATGATACCAAATAAAGAATAAATTGGATTCACTCACAGAGCCCACACATAGTGAATAATCAAGCAAGGTACCCGAGCCAATCAATATTGAACCTGTATCGACGTGGTACCGAGCCAATCAATAATCTGTACCAGGTATGGTATTCGATCTAACTGATAAGGTGTACCAAGCATGGTAACCTTGCCAATTGGCAATCAAAAATATTACACAACCACACTGAATACAACTATCCTTCCAAGACTAGCAGCAGTTAAGACAGATTCATGGCATGGGATTTGACAACAAATAATGTATCATTTCACATTAATCCTTTAACTCTTGAATATGTATGTACAAGTATTACTAATGGAACAGTTATCATGAACATATAACGTAAATTGGAAAATAGTTCAACCCTCACCTACATTAAACGACTCTCATAATTTTTCCAACTCAAAATCAGATTAGTCACATGTTACCGTCATAGGATAACACCCAACAATTATCATAACTCCAACATTACTAATCAAGTACCTTACCACCCTAAACAACAATATTCAACACATTTAACTATCTAGACTCCGTGTTTGAAGGCCTATGGATGAAATACTATCATAAGACCAACATTACTAACCACGTACCTTACCACCCTAAACAAGAATAATAAATACAGTTAGCCATCATGATGTTGTGCCCGAAGGCCTTGCACGAAATATCACATCACTCTACTATGTATTATGTTTTCAGAGACATGTCTAACTACCTAGTTAAGCCTAGCCTACTTGGACCCCAGATGACTGTTGGCAAAATTTGAACACGAACTTCTGCTTCTGTTGGGGCGAATCCTGACAGAAGCAGGCCTGAAATCCAAGGGTTTTGATCTTTTTGCGTTGGAATCCCTCCTCTCCAATGTTCCTAAGCTTGGAGTAGCCTATGAGGATTTTTTTGGAGTAATCTCCATCTATTTTACCACTAAAGAGGAGGAGTCAATTTATAAAATTCATATTTTCTGGATTCTAGTTTCATCAACCCGGCTATAGCAGTTAGGTAGCCGCTACAATGGTGGCTCCATAGCAGGAAAATTCCTGCTGAAGTGGGATAAAACTCAAGTTTCCTTACTAGTAATATATAAGACAATACAAATAAGAAGGAGGAGTCTTAGCAACAACAACCTTTATGCGTACAGCGTAGTGAAGGAGGTGCGCACGTAAAAGCAACTTTGTCACATCACAAATGATATCATCTAATTTAATAGAGAGACAGATATTGGCGTATGTACATTAAGTTAAAAAAATGAAGGAGTTGTCCACTTGGAAGCAAATGCGGAACTAGGTGGGGGTTCGAACGAACCCACTAGCTTTTTCGTAGATCCTGTATTTTTATTAAAAAGTTTAATAAATACATATGTATATTAACTTGTGAATCCTCAACAAAATTGATTGATATCTCAATGGTAGGGAAAATGCTTTTCACACTACTATTGTGGGTTCAAAAAATCTCTTTTTAGAATCCCAAACTCCTAATTATAGCCCTGCCTCTACCAGAATAGCATCGATTGTCGTTGGCCTCTTACGAGGATCCTATGAACAAAGAGACAGCAACAAGTAACAGAAAAGATGAGATGACAAGCTATCAGATATTCCATTCCCTTTTAGAAGATGTATTCAAGAAGGTTGCATATATGACGATGTTGCGAACAATTAAGAAAGTGATACAAATGTTTTTAGCCACTTCTTACCATGATAAGACTAATACTCTCTCCGTCTATATTGTGACACATTTCATATTTCGAGATTTAAATAAATCGATTTTTATCATAAATTTTTCATATATCTTAAATATTCTGGATTGTTAATTATTGTAACTTATAGTACTTTTTACGTAGTTTACAAATATATAAATTTCATTTCAAAAAATTGAAGATTCCATGCACAAATTCTCGATCAAACTTGAACTATTTGACTCTCGAAAAATGATATTGTCACATAAATTAAAACAGATAGAGTAACATTTTCACCAACAAATGGAACTAACATTTTCATTGGCAGATGAAATTAGCAAGACGAGATCTACACCAACAACCTGCCAAATAAAACCATGGAAGGTGTGAACCCACATTCAAAAGAAATCACTTTAACAGTAAAATGTTAAGTAGGGCCAAATAAAATAAGGACGATGCCATTAAATGGTCGTCAAATAAAAAAAAGTGATATCTTTTATAAATTGACTAATAAGGAAATAATGACATATAAATTACGATAAATGAAATAATTAACTATATTTTGTTTTTGTAAAGTGACAAGTAATTTGAGATAGTTTTTTTTTTTGTGGGTAATATTGACAACTAATATGAGACGGAGTGAGAACAATTTGATAAAGTATCTCTACCTATTTTTACTTGTCTACTATCTAAAAAAATAAATGTATATTTTTACTTGTCTACTTTGAAAAATCAAAAGACAATTTAATTGCTAATTTGTCTTTATTATTAACTTTGATTATTTTTGAATTTATTATATTTAAAAGGTGATATTATAAAATTATGTTATATTTATTACTACTATAAAAATTTCTTTAAAATTGTGTCAAATCAATAATAAATAAATAAAAATAAATTAAGAAAATAATTGATTTTATTATTAATTTTTTGTACCAAATGGCCAGTAGTTTAAGAAAAAATATTACTAAAACCAAGTTTGCTATTTATGATTTTCAGAACTACTTTTTGAGTATTTTATCTTTAGAAAAAACTTTTTTGAAAGACTTCTCTGATGAATTCTATCATTCTATCATTGGTAGGAGTATAATTTTTGTTGTTCCATCTAATATTATTTTTCTATGTTAACGAAGTTTTGCAAAATATTAGTCGCTAGATTGGAGAAAAATAGTATTTCAAGGGTGAACATGTGGCACTAGTAAAGGATGGTCGTGGAAACTGTTTATAGTATGAAGATAGAGGGCTTGTGTCCCGATAACATGATAAAAGAACAGACACACCAGATATGTTTGTATCTTATCCTGCTAACAACAGAGAAATATTAGCTAACACACTTAACAATATTTCCATGTGCAATATGGTCATTGGACATAGTACTGAAGGACTCAAGTGGAATTTTACTATTTGTTAAAGCATCACACTTTTTTTTTTACTAATAATTAATAGTTTTTAACACAATTATAAATCATGAGACTCTAAACAATACAAAAAGCAATATATTGGTATTTTTGTGCTCCAAGCTTTTCATATTTCACTTAGTCTTTGGTTTCATGCTTTACTAAACAATTCCGGATCGGATCATGAACACTTAAACATCACCAAATCTAGTGCAAATACATATTGTCGAAGCTCTATAACTTATTTTGATTCTTTTTACTCACTTTATCTTTCTAATTGTTTTTATTTAACTCATTCATGAACATTTTTAACCATTTATAATTAAATTTAACGAAATAAATCGTGACACATATTTTTAACCTCATTATAAATTCAACTATATCACTCTTCGATGAACAAAGATTAGAATTAAAATAGTTCTGTAAATATAAGTCATCTCCCTTCTTGAGTTAAAAAGAATAAATTATCTAATTAAATTTTGGAATACTTCATGAAATGCTTCCAAAAAGAAAAAAAGTGGAGCTAATATGGCTAGTAACATATAAATATTGTCAAATCAAGATGGTAAAAAACGATTGAATATTCTATTTTAACTTTAATATCTCCAATTTTTTTTTTTTTTTTTTTTTTTTTTTAGCTAAGTTATACTCGTGGCCCTTTCTTCGAAATTAAACTTTTTGCCTAAAAATGGAAGTCTTGGCTATCAATGACATCAGCTTGAAATTTTTAGGTCTTGCGAGAATAATTAATGGATGTGCTTTAAAATTAAAAGAGAAATTGAAGAACTTTAAGTTATATATATTTGCGATCTATAACATGATGATGTGGCATAGTTTTTTGACTCTTGATATCATATTTTCCCTCTTATGTGTAAAAAAATCGTAAATTCATAATTTTAATTTCAATTAATTACATCACATTTGTTACTAACTTTTCATTTTCATTCTTTATTTCATCATTTAGTACCTATATTAATTTTGAGAAATAATATAGAACAAGAGAACAATATAAAATACCAACTTTATTCTTTCTTTTAAATGTGTATAACATCATTCTTTTAATACCTTTATTATATGATTACATTGAGAAATATCAAAAGAAGTCATAAACATGACATGAATCCTTGAGAAGATAGGAAAGATTATAAGGTTGTTAATGATCAATGAGGAGGTGTTGGTGGTTTGCGTATTACTAGTTACTACTTATAAAGAAGAAAATTATACATGAGTTGGTTGGCGAAAAATGAGATTGTACCAGTTAGCTTTGAGTTATGATTGACCGAGTGGACTTGCATTACACATCATGTAGTTGATTTTAAGTATAAATAAAAGGGTTACATTTCTTTAATAATAAAATGTTAAAGAATTTTACTTAAAGCTATTTTTTATATATCAATTTTTATGCTACAAATACATAAATGTTTTATTTTCGTAAAATCCTCTAAATTAAATAACAAAAAATAAATTTGTCCATGAAATAGAGAGGTATGGGCCATGGGCATCCATAAAGATGAATTTGGGCTTGGTGTAGTGTTAGGGTTTTAGTGTTAACATCGCAAGCTTCTCACCATCCACACTGCTCTCGCATCGTCTCTTCGATCTTTTGTAAGTCATTTTTCCCTTATGTTGTATTCTGCATTTAAATTTATTTTTTGTATACTTGTATTTCTACACATCTGAAAAGATGGGTGGATTAATTAAGCTTAATAAGAGGCACGCTGCTTATAAATAAAGGTTTAAGGTCCATGAAAAAAAAATCTTAGTACTCATTTGGCATTACTGATCCTGTGTTTGGTTGGAATTTTCAGTTTGTATAATGATTCTACATAACTAGTCCATGAATTCAAAGCAACACTTATTCGAGTCCTCTGTTTGCTAAAAGGCATTTCTAAGAATGGGTCTTGAATCTTGATGGAGGAGATCTATTGGTGCCGACACAACTCTAATCTTTTTTAACTACATGATGCATATTTTCAAGATTGGTTGTTTTTCAGCCTTTTCTTGACTGTATTTTGATGGTTTGTGGCAGGTTTGGCTTGTATCTGGTAATTAGATTCAAGAAGAGAAAATGTCTGGGTAAGTAGTTATAGTATTACTACTATGTGTTTTAACTGATGGTCACTGGCATGAAAAAACTATTTTTGTACCTTGAATTTATGTGTTGCTATGATCCATGGTAGGTGAATGTTTATTGAAAAAGTACCTACCTATCTTGGTCCTCCTAAACTTGGTAATTTCATATTGGTTGGCGTGAACATGTCACATCAGCTCTCCTTTAATAAAGATGTCGCGTTCTTCTTTGGTTTCTTTTGCTTTGGATGCCATGGGTTGCATACTTTCAGTTGATTTAGATTCATACGTCCCCTACTCCTACCCCTACTGATCTTGTCTTGTTTTCACAATTTAGGTTTTTGAAGCCTACAATATAACATCGCAAGCTTTTCACCATCTCTACTCCATCCACACCATCGTCTCTTCGCTCTCTCTGTAAGTCATTCTTCATTTAATCCATGAATCTTACGTTCAATTCTGCATCTGCATTAAAAAAATTGTTTTGTGTATCTGTGTTTGTACACATCCGAAAAGATGGGCTACATGTTATGCACACATCTCAATGTGGATGCAATTCCAGGGTCTATCTGTTGAATCTTATCGATTTTGAAGTGTTAATAATTGAATTGTGAACTTAATATTTGTACATATTCAATAAATTTCTTAATACAAAGTTATTGGATTTCGTAGTTCATGTTATTTCATGTGATAGGCACTTTTGATATAGTTAAACAACATAAAAAGAATCTTAAAGACACTCTTGTCATCTTCAACTCTGAGATCTGGCTCATGGAGATTTTGAGACTTGGACTTGGTCTTGAGAAACCGAAACCTTGATAGTTATAGAAGGCTTTGACTTGTAGAAACTCTCTGAACTCTGAGAATTTAGCATCCCAGAGGAGATGGCTGTCTTGCTGTGTGTGTGGTGGTGGTTGGGGGAGGGGGGGTAAGCTTGTGTTCAGAGCACCTTTGCCAGATGGGCAGATGTGAAAGTATAGATTGTGCTAGTGTTCAGGAGCGCTATAGGATTAGGCACTCACTGCTGCTGAACTAGTGAAGGTTTGATTCTATAGGATTATGCACTCGCTGCTGCTAAATTAGTGAAGGTTTGATTCTTATGGTATGAATCTTCTTAAAGATTTGTTGAAGGGCAGGACATTGTCCTTCATTGCAGATTTACCACCTCTATTTTGGGGTATTTTACGGCCTTCCCCCTGGTTTATTGCCTACTTCTCTAAAAGTGAAGTCATTGGTTTAGATATATCTGTTCGGATCAGACCAGGATGAATAGAATTGGTTTTACCTCTCGCTCAGATGTAACACTCTTGCCGCTGACATATGTTATGTGTGAATGGCTATAATTATTCTATTAGGCTATTACCCGGTGTCTGTACTGGGACATCTAAAAGGAAATTAAAGTACATGCTGATATTTAGTTATTGAGGAACAATCTTCAATATAAATATTTATGTACAGCCGTGCCATTTGTTAGTGCCTTTGATAGAAGATGAAGTTAATACACACAGGAGGCGTGAATCCTTGACTCTCTTGAAGGTCCAATCTGCTGTCTTGATGAAAGTTGCTAGCAAATGAACCTTTTTTTGTGTGTCCTACCTCCTTCTCTGCTCTTATCTGCCAGGGATGATAAGATATCTATTATTTGTGTATTCTACCTTTTTCAGTTGTACTATTCAAGTTTAAGCTACGATTATTTTTCCAGTTTGCTGGAACCATGTCGTGTTTGGTTTTAACTTTATATTCTGGTACAAATGTCATGTCTTGGCAACAAATGAACATGCTCCTTGAATTATCTAAGTAAGAATAACATGAAAGGAGACATTCTCTTGCCAAGAGATTTTCATCTACGCTTTAATTCCATGTAGTTACAGAAGAAATAGTTATCTTGTGCAAATAACTCTAGCATAGTTGAATATATCAACCAACCTGCAGCAAATGCATGCCTTGTTGTATTGGATTTAACTTATATATTCCAACAGTGTAAAAGACAATTTATTGGTGTATTTTCACTCGTTGTAGGATGACCTGTCTTATTTTCCAGGTTACATATCCCACTTGTTATGGACAGTTACTTGTAATTATCTTTGAGGTGACTGGTGACCTCATCGTAGTCAGGCTTCTAGCTCCGCCTGTGGAAACAAAACCACTTCACTTAGGTTCAGATCCCAGTAGAGATGGAAAAAGTTTGATGTCATGTATGTGCTGTGAGGTAGTCGTATGTACTCGGAGGATTAATTAAATAAATAAAGGTTTAAAGTCAAATTGAATAGTAAATTTGATGGTTGGCTCAGAGGGACTTCCTATGAGAGGATCTTGTATTTTCAAACTCTTATTTTATTTTCATTCGCTATATGATGTGGCATCCTCTTACAATCATGGAATAACCTCGGAACTTTCTCCTGATAACCTGCCTAATTTCTGTACATCTCATTTTAGTATGCCTTGATAGACTTACATGTCTAAAATTCGACTTATTGAGAAAGCTCAAAGAAAAGTTATATATGTATTTGTTTCCAGGACGAATGGCTGGAAAAGCTGTAAAGTCTGTAGCAAAAGCAGTTGGGGAATATCAATATCCATGGCAAGAAAAGTTAGTGAAATACAAGGATGAGCTTTCAAAGGGAGTTTGGGGTTACTGGGAGCTTGGAGCCTGGAAACCTCTGGGGATCAGTGCTCGCCATCGAGCTCGTCTGCGCAAGGAAGTTGTTCTTGCTGGACAAGATTGGCCATACGATCCAGCAAGAAAGGAAATGAGAACGAAGCAGAAAGGGCACAAGTGTGACAGAATATCAGCAGAAAAACGGGCTAAGACAGCTGAACTGATGCAAAAAATGCCTGAAATGTTGGCTGATTATAGGAAGAGAAAGTGGGAAAGGAAAATGAAAGCAGAAGAAGATGCTGCCAGAAAATCACTGCAAGAATAGGTTTTACCATCCTTTCTTTTTCAACAACATAATGGACCAAAGATATCCTGCTCACTTGCCTTGGTTCTTTTTTTGTTCTGTATTTTCGAACCGTAGCAATCGGCGGGATTCGCCTTGATAGATGTGAGTTCAATAACTAGTGTTTTGTTTTTCTTCCTATGATCTTATTATGAAAACAGACAAAAAGATGTGTTTATGGAGCATATCGAGTAATTAAGTTGTTAGTCTAATAAGTTTAAACATTACATTAGATGGGCAAATGAATAAGAAGAAAAAAGAGATGAAGGTCTTAGAACTTGTTTGGATTAACTTATTTTAAGTTTTTTTTAACCTAAAATAGCTTTAAAACACTTTTAGATGTGTTTTTATTAAGTTAAAAACTTATTTTAAGTTTTTTTAACCTAAAATAGCTTTAAAACACTTTTAGAAGTGTTTTTATTAAGTTAAAAAGTGCTTGTAAGCACTTGGTTTTGATGCAGACATCAAACTGTGTTTCGTTGTTACATAATTTCATATAAACTGTGTTTCGTTGTTACATAATTTCATATGTTAACAATTTAGAGAGTAAACTTACAATATTATAAATAAAAATAGAGTATGAATGTATAATTAAAAATGATAAGGATAAAATAAGGTTTATTAAATAATAATAAAAAACAAAGATAAGAAAATAATAATAATAATAAAAAAAAAAAATTAAGAAGCGATCACACAAAATCGATTTTTAATAAAACGATGCTTTTTTTTTGGTACATAACAATATTTAATGATATAATATAGTAAAATTTAAGAAATAATTAAAATAAAAATTATTTTTAAAATAATAATATGATATAATACACTAGGAAACAGCCATCCAAACAAGCTGTTTAGTATTTTTCATGTTTCACTGTTTCCTGAATAGAGTTAGAAGCCGTAATATTTTTCATCTCCTTGTTCTTCAATGCCTATTTTATTCGATCAAATTTATATCAATGCAAAAATCATTATTTCCAATATAGTGCATATCAAATTCATAAGTTGAGATGAAAATAATAAGTACATTTTTATTCTTTATCAGAGCTTTTGAGTTTGAGTCTTGAAATTTTATCCTTAAAAGTGAAATTTTTCGATGTGAATCTGAATACGCAAGCACTAAAACGATAAAAAAGACAGGATGGAAAACAAAAAAAAAATCAAATTCACTATATTTTAATACCTATAATTATAACAAATCATTTGATCATAAGTTAAATTAAGTGCATATATGTGGATATACCATTGAGGAAAGATTGGATCATGTCATAGATGTCTTGATATATACATATTTTAATTAGATTTTTTTTTTTTGTTAAGAAAATAAGAAGGAAGGAAGAAAAGAGGAGGCTAACCCCGTGAGCAAAGAAAGTCTAATGAGAAAGAAAACCAAAAAAGATAAAGAGGAAATTCTTAAGTAACCACTAAAAATAACTTAATTAGGTTTCATCGCTATAGTTTGCTAATTACGATTCTTAACTACATGTTAGAGGAGGTGAGAGGCAAGCGAGATAGGGAGGAAGAGGAGAGAGGCAAGCGAGAGAGGGTAGAGAGTAGAGAGTAGAGAGAGGTGAATTGTATTTGTATTTCTGTCAAATTGCATATGTATATCTGTCAAATAATTGTATATGTGTAACTGGAGTACATATGTATTTGTATATCTGGCGAGCGAGATTGAGAGTGAGGGAGGAGAGAGGTGAATTTTATTTATATATCTGTTATATAATTGTATATGTATATGTAAATGTATAATTTGTATTTGTATTTGTATATGTATAAGAGAGGAGAGAGACAAGAGATGAACCAAGGAGAGAGGCACACATTATTATAGCTAAAAAGAGGCTGCAAGTGGTAATTAATTTAAATTATAACTATGTTAACTAATTAACTAGTATATATTTATTTATCCGCTTAATTTCCCCAAAAGATAAGGCAAGCCCGCAAAGAAATAGAAATCAGCAACAAAGAGTAAAGCAAAGAAACTTGTACATGCATATCCCCAACATTAGGCATAATATGGGGGGGAGGGGGTAGAAATTCCTGATATAATTAATACTTACGTTACTAGGTCATTTTATAAATAACTTCTTATGAGGAAAAATATTAAATGATCATTTGAAAATTGATAGAATATTTAGAATTTGAAGTTTAAGAATTTATCTGTTCGCAATCTCAAGTAAATATAATATATAATAACTAAATTTACAGTAAATAAAATTATAAACATTTGTTGTATGCTAAACACAAATTATTAGGTTCTCGTTAATTTAATGTTGTAGTCCAGATATTAAATAGGACAAATAACACAAATGTCATTAGTTTAGGGCTTAATTATGTATCTTTCAGTGAGTTCTCAAAATTATCATTCATCCCAAATTTTGTTCGTCAAATTAAATACATATATCTGGTACATCCCAATGCATGTATATCATGTCAAAATTAGGTATAATTTGTTCTAGATACACTATATTCAAGTGTGTATTCGCATGTATCTGACTCCCTCGCCCACCTCTCTCCTATCTTGCTCGCCTCTGTCCGATGTCGCTCGCCTCTCTCCCCTGTATTTCAGAATGTATTTGATATTCCAGATACATGTATCTAGTGTGATTTACATGTATTTGAGTCTCTCAATCACCTCTCTCCTATCTTGCTCGCCTCTGTCCTATGTCGCTCGCCTCTCTCCCTATGTATTTATATTTCATAATGTATTTGATATTCCAGATACATGTATCTACTGTGATTTACATGTATTTGAGTCTCTCGCTCACCTTTATGTATTTGTATTTAAGAGTGTTCTGGTAGCAGAAATATGTGTATCTAACTTAACATTCTAGTATGAAATTATCAACTAATTTGACAATATGTAATTATTTCAAACTATAGGAAAATCAATTACTCCCTCTGTCCCATTTTATGTGACGCTCTTTCCTTTTTAGGCCGTCCCCAAAAAATATTCCCTCTGTCCCATTTTATGTGAGGTAGTTTGACTTGGCATGGAGTTTAAGAAAGAAAGGAAGTACTTTTAAAATTTGTGGTACCAAAATGAATGATAGAAATTTGTGTGGTTAAAGGGTAAAATAGACATTTTATAGTTAAATTGTTACTTAATATAGAAATATGTCATTTTTTTGGGACTAACTAAAAAGGAAAGTAAGTCACATAAATTGGGATAGAGGGAGTATCACTTTACTATAATTAGAAACAATTTAACTTCAAAAATCTCCATTTATCCTTCATGAAATAATTATCAGCCATACAAATATCTAATTATTGTTTTAGACATAAATTTTAAAATTCTTCTTTTTTTCTTAAACTTCGTGCCAAGTCATAAAATGCCACATAAAATAAAACGAACGAAATAAATATAATTGAAATATTTAAGTAATTAGGCAGTTTTCCTATTAAATAACCCAGTAAAACTACATTAATAATATAATATAAAAATCATATTATATAAACGGGGTTGTGATATTTTAATAGTCTAGGGGGTAGGAGTAGTATTTTTAGGAAAGTGAACTCAAAACTATGTTTTTTTTTTCTTTTTTCAAATGGTGTTTGAAGTTCATATTGGAGCTCCGACTAAATTTGAATCGCGCATTATAGGATCCATTCGAGGATGATACTCCCAATAGAATTTTTTCCATATCCATTGCTCAAATCCGAGATCTCTAATTAAGGATAAAACGATCTCATCACTACATTACAACCCATGTGCAGTTTGTTTTTCAATGTGTCAAAGTTCCTTTACCTCACGCAATCTAAAGCAGAAACGGAATTCAGATTACAGAGAAAGATTCCGCGTCTCGACGTGTATCTACTATTTATGTTTACTTCTTTTGTTTTATACCAATAAATAATTTAGTGATCAAATGATTACACTTCAAAGTCATTAGTATCATTGATTGTATATCAATCTTTGTGGCCACGAAATATCCAACTTTACATTTTCTACCTTTCGATATAATTCGAAAAATAAATTAAGAAAATTCAATCTCTATTATTTTACGCAAAAAAAAAATTTGAACAAACCTTTTTGTCCTGCCAATTATCATAGAGAGAAATATTGAAATCATTTTTAAATTTGATACGAAATATAAGTTTTATTTTTGAACTATTGACAGCCTTAAAATCACACTTTTACTTGACTAATTGAACTTAAATGCACTTCCGATCATACAATATTAGTGAAATACACTCTTAAATTCTCGTCAAATTTATGGGTGTTTTCAACACTTCTCTTGATTTTAAGAGTTTCATGCTCCTATAAGAATTTGAGACTATTTATTATGTCATATACTCACGTTATATATTAAGACTATCAATAGTTCGGAGACGATTTTTTTTTTACCCTCGTATAGCTAAAAGCTCATCATTAAAACATTTCATAGCCAGCTCATTCCCATTTAATTTCTTTGTTTTTTTCCCCACTCCTACTTACACTTCAAATTTCAAACTTTTCAACTCCACACCGTATGCCCCTTGCTAAAATATTTTCTCAAGATCGTCTCAATTTAAATGGAATAATTAAAATTTTGAGAGTCAAATAAATTTTTTTATTGATTTTTTTTTAAAATATTTAAATTGTTAATTATTATAATTTATAAAAAAAATTCGTAGATTTTTACGACAATATTCTTTAGTCCATGCGACAAAGACATTATAACGTGTGGAGTGGAAAATAATAAATCATGGATTATATCACAAGTCTAACTTCTTAATATTGATGACTGTGTAGAGAATATTACCTTATGAACTTTCCTAGAAGATAAGGCAACCGACTTGCCACAACATTTTAAATCATATTGAGAACATTTACTCATCAAGTCAAATTTATATAAGTATGTATTAAAATGGACGGATTGAACTGAATTTAAGAAAATCAAAGTAGATTGAATTAATAAATAGACGAATTATTAACCTGTTTTAAAAGGGTCAGAATTTGTTTGTATGTTTTTAAGTATTTAAAATAGTTAATTATTACTCTATCCATCTCTAATTACTAATCAACTTTTGAATTGACACACCTATTAAGAAAACAATAATTGACATGGTAAATTTACAATGTTACTCTTATTAATTATGAAGTGGATGAATTACAAATTTAAGATTTTCAAGACTTTCACATTTTTCAAAATTAATTTATTGAGGGTATAATAAGTAAAACAAAAATTTGTCCTTTCTTGATTTG